ATATATATATATATTAGCTGATAAGCTAGTTGAAATAAAAATTTCAACGAGTTTATTTAAAAAGCTACTCAAAGTAGCTTATGTGATAAACTAGCTGAAATAAAAATTTCAACGAGCTTTTTAACTCGTTCTACCAGACAAAGTTTATCTAAATACAATAAACTTATAAACTAACCAAACAAGTTATAAACTAGTTTATTTGTATACCAAACATTGCCTTGAAGTTAAACTAATAGCATATATATATTGTTATTCGACATATTTGTGATGACATTTTTAATTAAAAATTCGTTCTTAAAAAATAAATAAAATTATAGTGTTTATTATATTTATAAAAATAGTTATATTCATATATATATAATATGAATGTCAAATTGAAAATTGTCGAAAAATGACTAATTTGATGTATTGTATATTTAAAATAATAAAAAATAAAAGAGGTTTTACGTTTTTAAATATATTTTTCATTTAGGTTAACCAAATATTTTATAATTTTGAAAGTCCTAATAAACATTAATAAAAATAAGAATTTGAAATTTTTCATTGAAATTGTTCGTTTGGAAACCCAAAAAGCTAATCATAGGCTCTTCTATACATCGAAACAATATGGCCGTTATGCTCATTACTAAACTTGTTGCAGGGATGAAATATAACCAAGGTGTATCTTTTTTATCAAAGGTTTAATCGATTGTTATAAAGAATAATTAGGCCAAAAATTATGATACATCCCGGAAAAATCAAACTTCCATTGAAAATTAACAAATGAAAGGTGTTGATCATAAAAATTATCGTAGACTCGAGAATGAAGTTTCATTTTGTTCATGCCATATCATGAATTAGTATTTGCATCCAATTTTTTTACAAAAAAAAATAAAAAAAATAAAAAAAATAAAAAAAAATATGTTTTTCCATTTTTGAATGGAATAGGATCAAAATAAAATCTTACTCCATGGTATTTACATGAGGTTCCACTTGAAGAAAATCTCTATTATTCCAAACCACCATAAATTTATAAATATGGTTATGAAAAGTAATAAATCGAAACATAAATTTGAAAAACTCTAAGTTTACATAGATCGAGATGTTAAGGAAAAAAAATGAAGAAATAGGGTGGAAGCCTGACCATATGTTATATAAATACACCCCCATTGTAGTGTTTAGTGGACATGTTTTCGAGGTCATGGAGAAGAGGGGTGACCTTGAACAGTTGGATCGACCCAGACCCCTACCGATGAATAATTGAGCCTCCATTGGCCGATTGGAAGTCTATTGTCGTTACGAACAAGACTATGGACACATGATGAACACTTGCGAGGAGCTGTGAGACTTATACGAGCAGGACACCTGAAGGAGTTCGTACTCAAAGATAGGGAGTCCAAAAATAAAAGATGGATGAAGACGGGGGGAGAGAG